GCCAGAACTGCCACCCAAGCAGATATATGCACACCATGTTTAGCACTCTCTTAAAAAGTTGGAATTAAAAATACCATTTGACCCAGACAAGCAAGCAGATATATGCACACCCATGTTTATTGTGGCTTTGTTCACAATAGCAAAGAGTTGGAAACAACCCAAGTAACCATCAACAAACGAATGGATAGAGAACCTGTAGTATATTCACACAATGGAATACTCGGCTGCACTGAAAAACAAGGAACTCATTAAATACTACACAAAATGAGTGACCCTGGAGGACATTATGCTGAGTGAAATATCTCAATCACAAAGTTACAAATACTGGATAATGCCACTGTTGTAAAGCAGGACTGACATCAGGGTTGGGGGGGAAAAAAAAAAAGGGGGGGGATAAATAATGCATACTGGGTTGAAACAGATGATGGAAAGAACTGCTTGAAACGAATATATGTCCCTAATAAACTCCACAATCATGAGTTAAAAACCAGGAATCTTGTAAAGACTGTGTAGTCATTTCCAACACCATCTAGGACCCAGTAATTAGAATTAGAGACAGCAGAATTGGGGGGCCATGTCTGACCTCATAGGGGTCAGTTTTATACTATGGATATTGTTGATAGGAGTGTTCTTTGTGAAGTCAGCAGAGATTGGCCATGTTACATTTTATCTTTTTATATATTTCATCTTCAGTCTTCCTCCTTTAGTGTCCATACATACAAAGGGACTGAAAATACCATGGCTTGGGTCCAGTACACCACAGCCCTCAAAGTGACACTTTTATCTTTCTAGTTTAAAAAAACTAAGACTTTAAGGAAAACTTTTCAGATTTGCCCAATGCAATATACCATTTTATGGATTTTCTGGATGTAGATTGTGGAAATGAAATTACTGATTTTAATCTTTTTTTCTACTTATCACACTGCTGTTTACTGGTTCAGGTATGAGAATTTTTACTTGAGATACAATTCATATGGAAGGGAGCTACTAATCCAAAGGCTGAGCCTGACAGTTCAAATCTACCAGATTTGTGAGAGAATGATGTGTCATCACCTCCCCTAGAACTTATAGTCTTGGAAACCCAGTGAAGGGTCAGCAATGAGTTGAATTCACACTAAATGCTGCAGTCTTTAAGCTTCAGCAATAAATATCTCAAGTGTTCTTTGATTTTAGCAAGGAAGGTAGTATTTTCTGTACACTGCATGCTGTTTTATGATGTTGCATTCTTCATGTAGATCATTCCTGGAATTATCTGTTCAGCATGCAGACTGAATAAGTATGGTGAAAGGTACAAACTAGATGCATACCTTGCCTGATTTTAAGTCATGCAAGATTGCCATGTACTGTTCCAAACACTGCCTCTATGTATAGGTTCCAGATGAACAGAAGTGTTCTGGAATTCTCATTCTTTGAAATGTTATCCATAGCCTGCTATTATCCACACAGTTGAATGGACAGTCATTTAAAACATAAAAAAGATCTTTCTGGTATTCTCTGCTTTCCATCAAGAGCCATCTGAAGTCAGCAAACATCCATACTCTTGTATCCTCTTCAGAATCTGACCTGAATTTCTCTTCGATGCCCTACTGTGACCATTTGGAATTCTCTTCTGCAAAATTTCATTTGTTTATGACATTAACGATATCATTTTGTTCTGCATTCTGTTGAACAACCTGTCTTTGGAATGAGCATGGATATGGATCTCTTTAAGTCAACTGGCCAAACAACAGTCTTCTAAATGTCTTGACACAGAAAGGGAGCACTTTCACTGCCATGTATTTGCTGAAGCCTCTCAACTGATAGTCAACTTCTGGAGTGTTACATTGAAGTCATACTGTGGCTCTTCTAGACTTGTTTTCAATCTCTTTAGCTTCAACTTAAATTTGTATATGAGCAATTAATGGTCTGTTCCCCAAATGACCTCTGGCCTTTGTTCCGATTATTAATACCGAGCTTCTCCATCACTTCTTTCCACAGATGCAATGATGTAATTCCTGTATATTCCATTCAGCAAAATTTAAGCAAATAGTCCCCATTTATATTGTTGAGGGGGGAGGTTATTTCCAATTAAAATTGTCTTGGAAAATATCTATCATGTAATCTCTATAACCAAGACCATACTTCCCAATTACTAATCTGTTTTTGTTTCCAATTTTCATATTCCAATCACCAAAAATTATCACTGCATCTTGATCAACAATTATCACTTGCATGTTTGATCCATTTTAGACTGCAGAAGTTAGAAAACCTCAATTGTTTCATCTTTATCATCCGTGATTGGTGTTTAGGTTTGAATAATAGTCTTTTTTAGAGATGTATGGATATACTCCATCAATCTCAGAGCAGATCCTGAAATGTTCTTCTTGATAATGATTTGTCATTTTCAGCAGAGATTATGCAATTATCTAATTAAAAGTGGCTAACATCTGTTTATTTCAGCTCATAAACGCCTCTGATGTCAATTTTCAAGTATGTCATTTAATTTTTAACAACTTCCAATTTTCCTAGTCATGCATTCCATATTCCAATTAATGGATGTTTGCAATTCCTACTTTTCATTTGAGTCATGTGACAGTAGCAATCAAAATTCTGAAAGCTTTAGTCTATTCATGTCAGGAAAGTCAACTCTTAAGGAGACAGCTTTTCCAGTCTTTTTTTTAAAAAAAAATTTTTATTTTATACTGGTTTATTTACAAAGTTCATATACATTGTTTTTCACATCAGATCTTTGCCATTTCCTTAAAAAATATGGAATGCTTCATGAATTTGCATGCTATCCTTGCACAGGGACCATGCTAATCTTCTCTGTATTGTTCCAATTTTAGTACATGTGCTCCCACAGCAAGCACTCTGGTTATATTTTTGAGGACCTTCCAACCTAGTGGGTACATCTTCCAGCACGGTGCCAAGTTCTGACAGTGTAAGGTTTTTCCTGTTAATTTTTTCAAGAGGAGATCACCAAGTCCTTCTTCTCAGTCTTACTCTAACTTGCCCATTATTTGTGATATTGCTGGTATTTTAAATACCAATGGCATAGCTTCTAGCATTATGCTAACATGCAAGCCATTACACATTTTAGTAAGCAAACTGAAAAGCAGACTAGAGATCTGTTCTGGAGTATGATTCTATTTTTCCATGTAACTGCTCTATTTGTTAAATGTTTAACAAGCAAAAACAGTGTTTATTACTTGTCTCTATATTATCCGAAGTTATTATGTACTATGATTTCACTCCCACAGAACCCAATGGAGTAGATATTATTATAGAGCCCACTGTGTTCTGATTAGTTGCCAGAGCCAATCCCAATGCATGATGATTCCATATATACAGACAGAACTGCTTCACTGGGTTTGCAAGGCTGTGATCTTCCAGAAACAGATCACCAGGTCTTATATCCAAATGGCTTCTGGGTAAATGTAAAACTGCCAGCTTCTTGATTAGCATTCGAGTTCTTAACCATTAGCACTACCCAGGGTCCAAACCTGTTTTATAAGTAAAGAAATAGGCACTTACTCTTCATTTCCAGAGCATAAATCCACCAGAGTAAAATGTGCACACACTATCAACTTTTAATCTCCATCAAACATCCTAACCTACTTGGACTCTACTGGGCTTGATAGACACTCTCTACCAAGAACTTCATGACTATTCATTTAAAAAACTGCTCTGCTAGGCCGTGGGCTCCAACAGTCCATCAGCCTTCCACACACAGAACAGAAGTCCGGTCTATGCTTAGTTTACTTAACCACCCCATTTCTATTTTTTTCCTGACACAGTTATTCTTTTTTAACAAATTCATTCTGGAGTGTGGAATTTCTGAGTATAGGGCTCTAATTGTTACCTAAATATACCTTGTAAAGACTCATTCTTCCTCATCCATTAAAAAATAAGGAAGACCCTTAACAAGATCGATCAACACAATTACTGTAACAACGGGCTATAAAGAAGAGATGATGGGATGGCACAGGATAGGGCAAAGTTCACAGGAAGAGTGGGAGTTGATCGCCAGCTTTAGTAAGTCATGAGGATTAAATGAGTGGTAAATCACTCAGCACAATACCTGGGCAATATGACTCAACAAGTTATTATTTACCTATCCATCTTCATGCTCTCCTGCTTGAGTGGCTCCCACTGTCAGGAAAGAATCTAAATAGTTTGGAAAAGACCTTCACAGTCTGATCCCTTTATCGGCAAATAAATACCTTCCCCCAACTCTAGTGGCTTAGTCAGAAAATAAGAGCATTTAAAGGTTCTGCTTCTCCGACAGCTCGAATCCATGAGCCGTGGTAGAAAGAACAATCTCTTCCCGAGCGATTTACTGCCTCTGAAAGCCCACTGGAAGAGGGTCACCTATGGATCTATTAAGATTCATTCACCTATGAAGAGGGTGACCCTATGAATCAGTTCCGACGGGACTGCAAAGAATCTTAACTCCTATCAAAACTGTCTGCAAAACCACCAATTACCAGGAGTAACTCTAATTTCACCTTCTATAACCTTTCCCCACCCATGCAAACCCAGGGTAAGGTTCTTCTCTCGGAACGCTAAAAGGAAAGGTTTCACCCCATCCCCCTGCCACTTATTCCACTCTGCAACATAAATGAGCTTCCTTCCCGTAGCTTCGGCGGGATCCTTAAAAGTTTCAAGGTGGGGAAGGAGTGCCTCTGTGCGTTATAAAGGCTCCCGATGGCTACGCCGGAGACTCCAAAGTAGGTAAAATGCTGCTGCTATTAAAAAAGTTAACAAAAAGACTGGGACACAAGAGGAGGGTTTTCAAGCAGGGCAGGTGCAGGCCTGTTTCTGCAGGAGGGGCAAGGGGGCTGTCTGTCCCCAAGGTTTCCCAGGGAAGTACGAAATGGGGCGGGGGTGCTGCCCAGGCGCGCGCCAACCCGGCAGCTACCACTGGAGCAGCCGGGATGGGGGGAGGCACAGCCCAGGGGGTGCAGAGGCGGAGAGCGCGCAGCCCCGAGGCTTGTCCAGTACACCCCCACCACTCTCACCTTCTCCTCTTCTTCCTCCTCCTCCTCCTCCTCCCCGGCAGAGCTGTAGGCTTCACAGTGGTGACGCGGGGTCATCCGCGGGCCCGTTACCACCTCATTTTCCTCTGCGCGCGGCGGAAGGGCGCGCGGGCCGAGGACCGGGCCGACTGAGGAGGGAGAAGAGGGGGAACCGGGTCGGGGGACGCGGGCGCAGGGGCTCGAGCGGGACGCACGGCTGCGGGTGGTGGGTCGGTCAGCGAATTAGTTCCATGATGACCCCAAACCTGTGGCCGCCGCCGCCACCGCCGGTCCCACTCCTCCAACCGCCGCCGCCGCCGCTTGTGCCCGGGTGGGGAGGGGGCTCCCTCTCGCCATAGGGCGGCGGGGGCCGGGGAGAGGCGGAGGGGGAGACCGGCTCTGCCCCTGCCCGGGGGATGCGCCTCCGAGGGGAAATGGTGAAAAAGGGGGAGGGGGAAAAAGAAGAAAAAAAAAGAAGGGAAAAAGGGGAGAAAATAAGAAAAAGCGAGACAGAGGCGCTGCCGCGTCCGCTCGCAGGGAAGGCTAGGGAGGGAGGGAAAGGGAGAAAAAGGTGCCGGCTGCCTCAGCTCCGCCTTCGCGGACCGATTCTTAGCTTCTTTCAATCCTTGTAAACAACACAGAATCGGTCTCTTCCCCTCCCCTCCCCCTTTTCCTGTTGACAGCTTTCACCGTCCAACAAATGCACAGAAAGGTCTGGAAAGAATACAAGCTGTAGGAGACAGGATGGAGAAGCTGTTGTGAATTGGTTGGGTGGAAAGTGGATATGTACTGTGAACAAAGAAAAGCCAGAGGTATAGGGACTCGTTTTCCTTGGAGGAGCGGAAGGGTTCTTCGCTGACGGCAAGATGACGTAAGCGCCTCCTCCGCTCCATGGAAGAGGCGTGCAGTGCCTGAGAGTGCGCTGCGCCTGCGCCCCAGAAGAAAGACGCGTTCGAGCGCAAAGCTTGGGGGTTGGGTTCTTTTTGACAGGTACTTGGAGAGCGCAGAGCTAACAACCACTTTTAACCCAACCTGATTGATTATTCTGTAAAGATCTTGCACTTTTTGTTGATCTGAAAAATTTACTTAGTTTTTCTTATCCTTGCCATGTAAGTGGTTTTTCGCTGCTACACCAAGGATGGAGGAACGTTCTACGTTCTAAAGTGCTTTGTTACCATTGTTATGTTCCATTTGGTCAGTGGGAGCTGACTCATAGCCGACTCTCCAGCTGTTTTTCAAGGCTGTAAATCGCAGGAGGATATTGCCCATCTTTGTCCCTATCTGAGCAGCTGATGGATTCGCCCTCCTTGCTTTTGTGCTGGTAATACAACTCCTTATTCAACAGACTACCAGCTCTCCCTCTGCACTTAAGGAATGGAAAATGGGTGGAGGGTTGGGAATCGTATGTTTTATGAACTTTTTGAGTATTTAAGGCCTCATTTGGAACCATAAATTATTCGGCTGAGCGTTGGGAACCTGTTAATGCGCGTGAAATTCTATCCACTTAACAAACATGCCTGAGTACTTCAGTGTTAATTTTATCACTGGTTATTTAAGCAGTGTGTAAGGAGATATGTAATGTCTTTTACTTAGGTTTCTTCTACTCACCTACAGTAACATTTTTTTCTGTTCCTTTTTTTAATCGTAAAAAAATTCCCTGCATTACAGAAAATTTTGGGAAGGGGCGAAAGACTTCTGACTCAACCATTTACAGAAGTAGTCTCTTTTATTATTATTTTTTAATTGATACTTTAATGAAAGATTATAGAGAACTTGGATTTTCTTTCATTCATTGTTGCACGTTTTCCTCCCTGTCCCCTCTTCCCCCCGTTCGCTTTTCTCTTTGGAAAAAGAATATTGTTATGTGCGCACACACACACACCCCCCAGTCCATTTTACTATGCAGCTCTTATTCTGTACTCTTGTCATGCAAATAATATCTAATCATATATCCCTTTTAAAAAGTTCTCTCATCTGTTTCTATGCAGTGTACATTATTTATCCCCTCTTTTCTTAGTTTCCCCCATAGTAGTCACTTCTATGTTTTCCCATTTCTACCTTTTCTATGTCAATTTTAACAGTAAACAATATCTTTTTAGCATATTCAACAGGTACTAAGTACTAAGCTGCAGCAAAGAAAAATGATCACAAAGTTATCGAGAGTTTACATTGCAATCAAAGAGTGTAACTCTGGTTCATAGAGTTTACAGTGCTTTCTAAGTGGATAATCACTGAGCGAATATTCACTCTCTAAAATTACCCGATATGTAATTTGCTTTTATATTTTCCCCCCCTGGGATAAAATTATTTAGATGGTAGGAATTTTGCTTTTTTTTTTTTTTTTTTAACATCCTCTATTTTTTCTAGTTCACTCTGGTGGCATAGTCCATAGGGAGATGCACAGCTAACTCAAAGATGATTAGAATCCAAAAAGTGAAAGCTTGGCCTGTGTGATTTACAGCTTCAGAAACCTAGTGGGTGGACATCTGGGCTGTTTCCATGTTCTGCGATGGTGAATAATAATGCTGCTATGAACATTGGTGTACAAGTCTCTGTTTGTGCCTCAGTTCTCATTTTCCCAGGGTATATTCCAAGTAGTGGAATAGCTAAATCATATGGAATTTCTATGTTCAGTTTCTTGAGGAAATGCCAAATTGCCTTCCAGAATGGTTGTACCATTTACAATCCCAACAATGTATAAGAGTTCTTTTCTCGCTACATCCTCTCCAACTTTTATTACTTGCTGTCTGTTACTGGAGTGAGATGGTACCTCACTGTGGTTTTGATTTGAATGGATTAAGAAATTCTGGTACATTCACACAGTGGAATACTACACAGAACTTGGGTGGGACTGGAGAGGATAAGCATTATTGTAGAATGAGTGTAAGGATCGAAGGGGGGTGTGTGGAAGCAGAGGAATGAGGATATGCAGGGGGAGGGAGATTAATCATCCGAGTTGTACTATTTAATGAGAGGAGGGTGTGAGGGAAATTGGAAGAATCTATCCTGGAAAACAATGTAGTCAAATTTTGTAAATAAACTAGTATAATTTTAAAAAAGTTAAAAAGAAATCCAGTGGGGGAGGGAGATCATTGTGAATGTTCACAATCATTTGGCAATTAGAGAGAGAAAGAGAATGAGAGAGATGACAAAGTGAGTCTGTAAGAAGTGTACTGTTTTGGGGATTTTTTTGGTAAGGAGTTCTTGATATTTGATTACTAACGAGGTAAAGATGGAAAGTTGCAAGCTGCTATGGAAACACTATAACTCTATCCTAGTTTGGGATATCAGAGAAGGCTTCTCTGAGGAAATGATCGTTAAGATAAGACTTAAAACCACTGGGCAAAGTAGCTGGGAAAGAGTAATAGGTAGAGGAGCAGCCTGCAAAAGGACCCTGAAACAAAAGCATTTTTTTAAAGAAATTTTTTCTTTTTTTTTTACATTTCTTTTTTTAAAATTTATTATTAATTTCAGAGAACATTTACAGAGACTTTGGATTTCCATTCATTCATTCTTGTTGCACTTTTCTCCCCTCCCAGTACACTTCCCTCTTGGAAAAGTAAAAGAAAAATTCTTTCAATGTTTTACAATACCTCCCCCCAGGTCCATTCCACTATACAGCCTTTGCTCTGAACTCTTGTCATGACAAAAATACCTAATTCCATATCCCTCTTAAACAGTTTTCTCCCTCATCTGTTTCAATGCAGTATATATTATTGAACCCATCTTTCTCATTCTTCCCCCAACCCCCATGTGAGTCCTGTTTTACAATAGTGACACCATGCAGTATTTGTCCTTTTGTGACTGAGTTACTTCACTCAGCATAATGTCCTCCAGGGTCACCCATTTTGAATAATATTGCATGAGTTCCTTGTTTTTCAATGCAGCATAGTATTCCATTGTGTGAATATACCACAGCTTCTCTATCCATTTGTTTGTTGATGGGCACTTGGGTTGTTTCCAACTCCTTGCTATTGTGAACAAAGCCGTGATAAACATGGGTGTGCATATATCTGGTAGGATGTCAGTTATGGTCTCTTTGGGGTATATTCCCCAGTAGTGGAATTTCTGGGTCAAATGGTATCTCTATTTGCAACTTTTTGAGAAAGTGCCATAACGCCTTCCACAGTGGTTGCACCTTTTGACACTCCCACCTACAGTGAATAATGGTTCCAGTTTCTCCACAACCTGGCCAGCATTTGTTGCTTGCTGTTCTGTTAAATTTTGCTATTCTGACAGGGGTGAGATGATACTCATAGTTGATTTTTTTTTTAAATTGTGATGTTAATGAAAGTTTACAGAAGGTTAGATTTTCATTTCTTTATTATTGTATGTTTTACTCCCTCACTTCCCCCTCCCCAGTTCACTTTTAAAAAAATATTTATTAAAAATATATTACTGCACAATTACTTCCCTCCTCCCTATCCCCCCAGGCCTCTTTGCTATGTACCTCTTATTCTGAGCTATTGTTGTTCATAATGCCTAATCATATGTTCCTTTTAAACAGTTCTTTCCTTCTCTTATTCCAATGCAATGTTCATTATCTATCCACTCTTATTCTAGTTTCCTCCCAACTCCCATGTAAGACTTGTTTTATAACAGTGGTGCTATGCAGTATTTATCCTTTTGTAACTGAGATATTTCATTAAACATAATGTCCTCCAGAGTTACCCATGTTGTGTAATGTTTTAAAAGTTCATTGTTTTTTAGTGCTGCATAGTATTCTATTGTGTGAATATATCATAGTTTTTCTATCCGTTCATTTGTTGATGGGCACTTGGGTTGCTTCCATCTCTTTGCTATTGTAAATAACACAGCAATAGACATGGGTGTGCATGTATCTGTTGGGATGATTGTTCTGGTTTCTTGAGGGTATATTACCAGTAGGGGCATTGCTGGGTCAAATGGTATTTCTATTTCCAACGTTTTGGAAGGCCAAACCACCTTTTATAGTGGTTGCACCATTTTATACTTCCACCAGCACTGAATAAGGGTTCCAACCTCTCCACAACCATACCAGCATTTATTGTTTGCTGCTCTGTTGAACTTTGCTGTTGTTTTTGGGGAAACTAAAACTT